GAACCCATCTGTACAACACAAGAAATTTCCTCTTTAATACGTGAACCCATCTGTACAACACAAGAAATTTCCTCTTTAATACGTGAACCCATCTGTACAACACAAGAAATTTTCTTATTAATACGTGAATCCATCTGTACAACACAAGAAATGTCCTCTTTAATACATAAACGCATCTGATCCATCTGATAACCTTCCTGTTCAATACGAAAACCCTTGAAACTCTTCAATACAAAACCCGTTCTATTTAATACAAGAACCCTTCTATTCAATACGAGATACAAAGTCCCTTCTGTTCAATACACAAATTACAACGCATTGGAACACTCTCAAACTGCTAACTTTTTTATAAAAATTTCTGAATTAATTGAAAAGAAAATGTGCGGTTAACTGACTTTTGTGGCCACTCTTTAATTATAAATAATAATAAAATTATTATTATTATTATTATTTTACTAGCAAATAAGTTACAATACATTGTCTTCGTGTTAATCTATATACTGCCATGTTCAGCTGTCTGTCAATGTGTTCGATGTTTGTGCCAAAATATTGTGAACAAAACTGCTTTTAATCTTTCAAGGAATTTTAAATTTTAATAAAAATAATAATAATAATAAATATATCAAAAAATTGCGATGTACTTGAGCTTGAACCTTTCAACAAAATAAACTGGGAATTATATAAATGTGTTCATGTATATCCTATAAATGCTAAGAGTGTACTTATCTTTGTTAACTGTAAAGAAAAATAATTAAAAAAATTGTATGAGAGATATTTGTTTCTGAAATAAATATTCTTCTATAATTATATAACTGTTCATTGTTTAATTAACACCATCGTGATTCTAGAAACGTGTTCCTTACATCGAGATAATGCACACTTTACGTCATTTTAACATTTCTTCATTACTTAAGTGAGGAAATGACGTTAAATTCGTATAAATTCACGTAAATGAATAATACTATTAAACACTTAAACTGCATTTGTATTGTCTTCACAGTACGAATGCAGTTTAGGTGTTTATTAATAGTATTCGTTGTTTCTCTCGCTGCACAATTGTTTAATCAAGTGTACATTTGTTAATTATTTGCCTCGGTGCCAGGTGCAGGCATTTAAGGCTTTACGGTTTTAGTTACGATAGCCTCTTAGCTTAGGGTACTTTAAATCCGGCTGTTCATTAAGACACACCATAATATAAAAAAATATTTAATTTAGAGAATTAACTTCTATATTCACTTAGCGAACTTTCGATTTAGTAAACAATAGTATTTATTCTCGCTATTGTTTATGTATAAAATGTGTTCAAACTAATATCTACACTAACCAAGTGTAATTTCATACTTATTGTTAAGTTTACACATAAACTAAATAAGCTACAACTTAGGGCCTTTCGAGTTTTAATTGAAAGGCCCTAAATATACCTTAAATTAAATTTATTTGATGTTAAATTTTTATAATTTTGATGTTTGTTATACTTCTGTATACCCGTTAAAAGAATCTATATTTTACATTAATGTCTAATACCTTTGTTTGCGTTCTTTAAAAATTTATATGTTTGTTACGCTTGTGCTCAATAAAATATTCAACTGCTTGTGTTATATTGGTGTTCATTTCACTTCTGTGTTCATTAAAGTAGAAATGTGCCATTTCCACGTTATTAAATTACATTCATCTTTATTATAATTCTATGTTATTAGTTACATATTCATCTATAACATTTACATATTCATTAACACATTTATATATTTGCTAGCCGTGTTATAACATTAATCTGTATTTAAATAAATTATAACGAGATTAATTATATTTGTTCTTTTATATTTATACGTTCAACGAATAATTCCTGCGGTTTTATTTGATAATTGTAATCATGTTTACCGTGTTTTCTTCTCTATTACAACATATTTATGAACATTATATTCATTTAAAATATTCATATATTTACTACTACGGTGTTTATACAGATATCTATTAAATTATACTCTCATTTGTTATACTGCTGTACATTTTTAATCACCAAAAAAGCATATTTATGAGCCAGATATTTATTTAAGTAGATGTCTACGTTTATAACGTATAGATTAGTTATAATACAGTTTTAATGGGAATATTTTAGTTACAACACTACTTCAATATGTATATTTAGTCGCTGTACTAGTTTAGTGCTCATATAACACCAATTTAATAGGCATTTTTTTAAGTTAAAATGTACATGTACTAATTTAATAGAGTATATACCAGTTACAACACTACTTTAACGGCATACATTTTTTACAACAGTACATTATAAACTGTACAAATCGGGGACAAAAGGCTACTGAAAGATCCATTGTGCACCTACAAGAGATTACTTTACAGGTCTGATCTGCTTAAAAAAAAGATAACAGACTTCTAAGAGGAAATATGGCAGACTATACTAGAGGAAAAAAACACAGATGAACAAGTCTGCCAGAATAAAATAGTACACACTTTAAAATGCAATGCGGAGGAATCTTCTCAATAGTCTCAAAAGCGGCAGGAAGCTGAAGAAGAATACTGTGACACTAGTTTAACGGGCGTATAATACTGTTAGTGTATACACTTATGTACTGTACTTAATACTAGTTTTACAGTACATCACTTCTTACACTAATTACAACGTAACATTCACCATTTTATTGATTAAATGTTCAAAATTCTGGTTTAACAGAAGCGTAATTAAGGAAAACACCTTTTTATCGGCATATTTTAACATTTATTAATATGAGCATATATTTACTAATTTAATTTATTACTAACGAGCATATGTTTCATCGCTATTAGTGTCACACTTTTGTGTTTATTAAAGTAGGCATAGCCTATATTATTAATGTTTACTGTAGCAGAATTCATTCTATGTTCGCAGTGTTGATTAAAGCATGTATTTCATTAATGTTTATTACAATTCTCGATTTCATTAAAGTGTTCATTAAAGTTTCGCCTGTAAGTATACCACCCTCATACTTCATAATACAAATATAAAGTTAACAATAATATTAGAAAATTTTAATATAATTTTAAATTATATATTTAATATATTANAAGAAAAAAGTAAAATATTTATTTTCTCCAGGGGGCGAGAAATTTTTAATAGTGTTGCCAATTAAAATTTTAAAACATCGAGAAATTTCGAATTAAATTAATTAATTATTCTTTATATAATTTTTATATATTATCGTAATAAATATGAATAAATATAGATTTATTTAATTATTTATTTTCTTCAATTCCATTAAATTGAAACGAAAATAATTCTTTAATTTTACTAATTTAAAAATTTAAAAGTTTTACCTTCAAAATTCGCTACTCTAGAATGATTCAGAGAATTAATTATTAACGCAATAGCGGATTAATCGAGACGTACTATATTATTCAATTAGATCGTTACCACTGGAGTATTGATCAATATATTTAAGATGTACTGTACAACAGAAATTTGAAAAATTAATATATTAACTACCATACTACGTTAAAAATCATATAAAATTAAGCTTTTATAATTTTAATTTTTAAAATTTAAGTTAATTTTTATTTTAGTAAGATTTGTAAAATTAAAATTTTGAAAAATAAAAAATTTATTAATTAAAATATTTATGTATAAATTTTTATTTCCTCCAGAGGGCGAGAATATTTGTAATAATGTTGCCAGTTTAAATTTTTTTTTTAAATACTTAAAATATTTGTAATTTTATTTTATTTTTATCTTAAAAATATTTTATTAAAACTAATCTATTTTAAATACAAAGATTAATAAAATAGGATTTAATAATTATACCTTTCATTATACGCATAAAAGATGTATAATTATATCATTCCTCGATGTAATTACATAAACAAATTTCTAATTTTGGTACAAAAAAATAAATTTTAAAGTATATTTTTTAATGCTTTCCAAGCAGTAATATTATTTTAGATTATATTTTATAAAAAGAATTTAATAGAATGAAATGTAAAAGTACATTTAATTCATAGAGATCTACAACCTTCATTATATTCATAGACATCATTCGTGAATATAATTAAATAAAATTCTTCAACTGTTTACGAAATTTTAGTACAAATAAAAAGCATAATGATTAAATACAGTTTGTATTGTACTTTATAATATTTTTGAGTGGAAATATTAGTTTTTCAACATTATTTTTCTTGTAAGTTCTTCTTATAAGAGTAATTAATATAATGGAGAGTCGGGAACTGAAGTGAATCAAGATGAATACAATTCATGAAGATTAACATCCTTCATTATATCTGAAAGTAATTAAATAAACAAACAACCCGATAAACTTTAGTAACCAAACGAATAGCCGGATTCATATTGCACTTACAAGAAGGTTAATAGCACTATATTAAGGCTATTTAGAAAGTAAACGAAAAGCCAGATTCATATTGGGCAATATTAAAGTTATTTAGTAACCAAGCAAACAGCAGAATTCATATAAAGATATATTAAGGCTATTCAGTAAGTAAACGAATAGCCGAATTAATATTGGGCTATACTAAGGCTATTCAATGAACGGCCAGATTCATATTTGGCTAAATTAAGGCTATTTAGTAATCAAAAATTCGGCTGTTCGTTTAATTACTAAATAGCCTTAATATAGC